GTGGTCTGTGCTCCACAACATGGGTGGGCCAGCCACTTCCCTCCCCTCTTTGCTCTCTCAATCCCAGAAATCCGGTGCCACGTGCTGCCGGCGGTGCTGCGGGGCTCCTACGTGTGCTCAGCCGGCGTGCAGATGGATTCCCGCTGCGACTACAGCTGCCTGCCTGGCTACCAGCTGGAGGGCGACCGGAGCCGCATCTGCATGGAGGATGGGCGCTGGAGTGGGAGCGAGCCAATCTGTGTAGGTAAATTCTCACCCTACCGTCCTCCCCGCCCCACACTGCTGGGGCATGCAAGGGCAGGCTACCCTCCATCCCTGGGGTGCCTGCAAGTATCACCCCCACGCCTGACCCGGGCATTGCCAGGTGCCGGCTCCTGCACCTCCCAGCCCTGGGACTCCTGTCCCTGCTGCTCCCTGAGGTGCCATTAGCCCCGCAGCACGGGCTGGTGCAGGGCACGTTGGTCGGGGCACTCAGTGCTGGCATTACAGCAGGTCTTGCTGGCTCCAGGGTGCCCAGGTTGTGCACAGCATCCCTGGGGTCGCTGAGCACCGGGGCCGGTGCCCGGCTCCCGCAGGTCCCCCGCCTCCCTCTCCTCCCTGTGGGCAGATATGGAGCCTCCCAAGATCCGCTGCCCGGACCCCGGCAGCGCCCACCGTCTACTGGGACCCCCCCCGCGGGAAGGACTCCGCTGATGGCATCATCAAGAGGTGAGGGCGGAGGCGCTGCGGCACCACTGGCAAGGGCTGGGGGCCACGCTGGGTGCCCCCTCCCAGGGCCCTGATGGAGAAACCTGTCTGCTGGGTCCAGGGTGATGCTGCGGGGTCCAGAGCCCGGCTCCGAATTCCCCGAAGGAGAGCACGTGATCCGCTACACCGCCCACGACCAGGCATACAACCGAGCCAGCTGCAAGTTCAGCATCCGCGTCCAAGGTGAAGTGGGCTCCCCTGGGGCTGCTGGCTGCCTCCCTTCGGCTCCGGGCTCCACACCCCATGGCCACCCTTTCCATACACCCCCCCAGCACCCTCTCACCACCCCCCGTTTCCACAGCAAGCCGCCTGTGGGCTGGACCTCCGTCACGTCACCACCATCGAGCTGGTGGGACAGCCCCCGCACGAGGTGGGACGCATCCGGGAGCACCAGCTGTCCCTTGGCATCATTGAAGAGCTCAGGTAGGGGATGAGGGGCTATCCTGCAGAGCCAGGTGCCTGCGGGAGGGGAGCGGGGACAGGGACACCTCCAGGGATGGCAAAGCATGAGGTTGCAGCTGGGTTTGTAGACAGCCCCCTCCTGCTGCACCGAAGGGGCTTGTGCAATATGGGGACACCCCGGTGAGTCCCAGTACAGCATCCCCAGACCCTCCCAGGACTCACAGCCCCGAGGAAGAGATGGGAGCCACCACCCCAGGAGGATCTGAGCATGGTTGCATGGGACGGGCATGCTCAGCCACAACCCACAGCCCCTCCAGCCCTGACCAGCGGCTCCCCCCTGCATTCCCAGGCAGTTCCTGCACCTCACCC